ACCGCTAGGACGCGGCTGCTTTTGCTGGCGCGTGAACATTAACCGTTGGACCTATATCTCAATTGTAATTTATCCGAAAGACTTCTAAATCATAACTACTTCTGGAAGCACCCACGTCTAAAATCAAAAGTTTGGCTGTATACACGTATGATGCGTCTAGCTCAGTCCGACCCGCGCAGAGTACAGACCATGACGGATTGAATCGCTTCCAAAACAGCGAGCGGGCATATCATCCCGACTGCTGCATTGCTAGGGCTGATCCAAGCCAGGAATTGAACAGGTGCCAGAGGATTATGCAGTTGTGGGTGTTAGGGTAGCAATATGAGAGGTCCCCATTTCGTGTAGTTAGCGTTACTATAGGAAAGACGTGTTACTAGATTTAATTTTTATAAATTACTATAGTTATTTAAGGTTTTTATAGTAATAAGGTAGTAAGAGGTATAAATAATAGGTTATTATATAAGGTTACTTAAGTAGTTATTAGTAATTTATAGATAGTACCTTACCTAGCCCTTTCTATAAGTTTAATAGGTAACTTTACTATACTAGTAATATCTTTATAAAAGTCTTTATCTATTAGTTATACCTTAAATTACTAGATCTTTTATAAGGTAATTATAATTAACTCCTTATTCTATATAATATATAACTTATCTTATATAGCTTTATAAAGATATAAGGTAACTATAAAGCTTTTTATTTAATTAATTTATACTTTATAGCCTATAATATAGTTATATAGCTTATTAGTAACTCTATATAGTAATAGCTTAAAGTCTTTAATTAACTAATCTTTAAAGTTAAATTACGCCTTATTTTATAGTATCTTATAGAGATAGTTATAGTACTTATATTTAGTAATATAAAACGTAGCTATTATAGTAAGTACGTTCTTTTACTTAGTAATTATAAGATCTAGTAGTAACTTAGTAATATAGTTTTTTTACTATTAGTTAGTAAGTATAAATCCCTTTAGCCTTTTAGGCACTTAGTATCTTCCTGTAATTACCTCTACTTTCTTAGTAGCGTTAGGTAGTAACGCGTACTTAGGGTAAATTACCCTAGGCTGCTTAGTAGCGTTGCTGCCCTATGTAGTGCTTATATTATCCTCTTTATACTTACTTATTTTTAGCTTACTTACTTATAATTACCTTCTATTAGCCTAACTACCTCTTAGTTATAGGCGTTTCCTTTAACTATTATTAAAGGGCGTATATATCTATTAGAGGATTTACTACTAGTAGTATAGGTAACTATAAAGACTTATAGTTAAAAAAAAAAAACTTTACTCTTAGTAAGCTTATAAGTAATAAATAGGCTATTATGTTAGTAATAGGAAATAACTTAGTAAAAATAAAAAGAAATATATAAAAAAAAGAAAGTTAGTAAGCTGCTTAGGCTTATAATAAAAAAAGTAATAATAATAAGTAACCTAGTAGTAGTAACTAGTTAATAGTAAATTAGCACGTAAAGTAAGGTGTTTTTTATAGTTAAGATTAATCTTTTAGATAGTAATAAAGTTAATTTACTTATATAATAGACATAAATCTATATATCTTACTATAAGTTAAGGGAATAAGTTACTATTAACGTAAATTAACCTGTAATAGGCGTATAGCATAACCTTTGTTATAAGGGTATTTATAGTGGCGTTTTATAGTAAGCCTACTCTAGGCCTCTATAAACAGTTAATAAGGAAGAATTACCTCTTCTTGTGCCCTTACTAATCTATAGTAGCAAATAGTAGTATTTAACTACTAATTAGTGTTAGAGTCACTAGGGTGGTAATATTGCTTAACTATACGTATTAATAGGTAATTAATAAATAATAGGGGTATATACTAGTTCTAAATTATACGTAAAGAAGAGAAACTATCTATAGGTGTTATGTAGTAACATCGCTAGGTAATACCCTATAGATCCCCTAGTAGATCTACAGTTAATTAGCTGTAGTTTCTCTATTAGATCAGCGTTAATTATAGCGCTAATAATCTAGGCGATAGTTAATATTATAACACTTTATATTAAATATAAAATACAATACATATATTTATATTTATATTATATAATATAAAGTAAAAGATATAAATATAAATATATATATTATATTATATAGAAGAAAAAATACAAATATAGATATTTATATTATATTATATTTATATTTTATTTCTGTAACTCTCTGTTTATAGTTCCCTTAGTAAAAGGGGGTAAATTAGCCCCTATAGGGGTATAATCTCTTTAATAATATTAATCTTATAGGTAATATCTTTATGCTATACTAAGATTTATATATTTACTAGCTTTAGTATTTCTTTTATTAATAATAATTCCTTTAAGATTTCTACTAGTATTTTTAGGTCTGTAGGCTTTTCTTTATCTAGTAAGGAAATAAGCTTAGGGACTACTACTACTATACAGATCTTAAATATAAACTATAATCTCTTTATAAATCTATAACCCTTTAAGGCCTCTTAAGTCTTTTATATTTCTATTTTCAACTACTAGCTTAAGTTATTCCCTTTGAAGAAGATATTAAGGTATTAAATTATTATTATTAATACTAAAATAAGGCTACTATCTTTATAAAGATCTTAATTTATTACTATATAAGATTCTATAAATCTCTTTATAGTTCTTTAGTTATTAGTTATAGTAATTAGTACTTTATATACTTTATATATTAGTATTACTATTTTACTTATAGCTTCTAATAGTAAAGCTATTTACTTAGCCTATTCTAGTAGGTATTTCTTAAAGAATTTATAAGATATTAAGTTTTATTCTATACCTAAGTCTAGGTTAGTAAAAATATTTACTATATACTTTCTGCTTTTTACCTATATCTTAGTATAGAAATAAAAAGTAGTCCTTACTTTCTTTAGAAGTAAAGCTATAAGGGTTACTTTACTTTTATACTTTTTCCTAACTTCCTACTTATAATAAGTAGTACTAAGGCCTCTAAGGTCTTAGCCTTACCTTTATAAGAAGAATTACTTAGGTTCTTTAGTTCTAGGTAATTTAGTAAGATATACTTTTTCTAATTATAATTATAGTAAGTAGTATCTTACTTATCTTAATTAGCTTTTTACTTTTTATAAAGGCTATTAGACTTTACTATATCTTTATTATACTAGTATACTTTTACTATTTTGTTTTTATTTTACTTACTAAATATACTAAAGTTATTCTTATAAAAGGCTTTTTATATTTATTAAAATATACTTACTATTTTTATATAAGTCTATAGTAACTTTAGTACGTTTTATTAGATTACCTCTTAAAGTTTATTAATAAGATAGTAAAAGAACTTTAAAGCGTATTCTTTTTTTAGTTTTAATATAAATTCTTTTTCTAAAAAGGTAACGTAAGTATAAAACTACTTTAGATTTTAATTCTTTTCTTATTAAGCTAATATAATTACCTTTATAATATTTAGCTTTTAATAGACTATATCTTAAAGTAGTATTTTAATTTATTTTAAGAAATAGTTATAATTTTTAGCTAAAAGTTACTTTTTATTTATAAGTAAATTAAGATATTAATCTTAGTAAACCTTATACTTATTATTTATATAAGCCTATACTAGTAGGATTTATATATATAATTTCTAAAATTCCTTAAAAGTAGCCTAAATAGCTACTTTTAAGTTATTAATCTAGGCTTCCTAAGTATATAAGCTTAAATATAAGTAAAGCTTTAAAATTTCCTTATAATTAAAGTCTTAGTTAGAACTTAACTTAGACTTACTAAAGTTTTATTAATAGTACTACTTTTTTTATTACTAGATTAGTCTTAGGTAGTATGTTCTAGCTTTCCAACCCTCTGCTTTAAGGCCTTTTATAGCTCTTACTTTACTTCTAGGGACGTTTTTATAACCTATTCTCCTAAAAGTAATATCTATTCTCTCTCTTATTTAGCTATTATAGTGCTTAACCTTATAAAGAGAAGATTAAGAATTATAATAGACTATTATAATACTAGAACAAGTATTAAATAATAGGTCTTATATTATATAGAAGCTAAATCTTAGAGAACTATTCTCCTGTAATTTACTAGGCTTTTGCCTACTTAATACCCCTTAGTTCCTAAGACACTTTACTAACCTTATAGTTTATATAGCTAGCTGCTACTAGCTTTCTATAGGTCTTTATAGCCTAGTTAATATTGTCTTATAATAAGTTAATAATTAATTCTTATTCTTAAACTTTAAGTTTAATATTTAATTTCTTTTTAACTTACTTATTATTTATCTAAGTTAAAACTATTATAAAATACTATGAAGGATTAGTGCTATACTAAATAGGTAACTTAATTTATAAATAGTAAAGATCTAAACTTATAATTCCTTCTAGGTTTTATACTTAAGTATCCTAGTTATACTCTCCACTATATAAAGATAAAGACTTATTTTAATAGGCTTACTACTACTTTAACTAGTTTATTTAAATTAATATAATATAAAGATAATATATTATCTCTACTATACTATTTAGTATTTATTTCTTATTTATTATAACCTTTTTAAGTAATTAGCTCTACTTTGTAGTTTTTATATTCTAGATTATTCTTTTTACTCATATTGTCCTAAATAGCGCCTAGTACTTTAAATCAATCTTTATAATTATCAGTTACTCTACATGTACTAGAATTATTACTATTATACTACCTAAATTAACTAGTTAGTTACTTAGGTTTTATATGTATATTAAAACAATTAGCTTAGAGTTTAAGGCTTTAGCTTAGCACCTTATTAAGAGTTACTAATTAAAACTAAACTAAACTAATTTATTAATTAGCTTAAGATTCTAGACTTTAGCCTAGACTACCTAACTAAGTATAGCTAATTAAAACTAAGCTTATTATCTTAATTCAGCTTAAATTTAAGCATTCTAATTGTTAGGGACAATAAGTAACAGTAATATACTACATCACAAAGAGACATTTACATTATAGTCATTAATTAACACAAGGATATCGCTGCTACTTTTGCGCTTTAACATTTAATTCCAAATGATTCCTTCCCGTCCACACATGTTGTCTGTGTGCCCGGGAACATATCTTTCTACGTCTCCTATGCCCTTGTCGTCCTCGGCTGCATCAAAGTTGCAGACATTGAGATTGAAGTTACACGCCACCCATGGGTCTAGGCTGAATCCCCTCGCCGCCGCTGAATCCCAGGGATTTGTCAACTGCACATAGTCATTCCAATCGAAACAATTAGACGGGCCCTTAAATAGGGTCTGCTTGGTGAAGCCGTAAGATTGGATCAGCTTAGTAGCCAGGCCGCTCTCCGGCGGCCAGTCATCGCTGTCTTTTTTGTGCAACCGCCACTCAGTCCACGCGCTGTTAGGCTGCATCTCGCACAAGACCGCATCCGACGTCTCCTCGCAATCGGTTTTATTAAAGGTCCTGATGATGTAAGCGTTCTGGGCCTGCAAGATCGTTCCTATGGCGTTAATCTCAACGCTCTGGTACATCCAGGCGTCGAAGTCGTCTTGGGTGAAGTTTGTGCTGCGATAGAGGAACGTGCCGCCGCCTAGGACTCTGTTGATGCCCCATTGCGGGTCGGCGATGGGGGCGTCAATCACTTTCTTGGCGTAGACTCCTATAGCTGTTTTGTACCCATTGATCACAGACCCCACCTGGTCGGCAATCTGGCTCCAGCGAAGATACTCGTCGTCCGGGTCCGGCGGGGCGAGCAGGCCGGAGGCAATGATATTAAAACCTGCGATGTTGCCCTGATCAATCAACGAGGTGGCCGGAAAGGCGTTCAGGACACCGTCGATCCATCCTATGAGTACTTTAAGCGGCGTGAGTTTATCCTCCATTTTCGGCCAAAGGTCATTGACAACATTTTGGAGCTTGAGGCCTAAAATAGCAGCCGTGTATGTCACGGCTGTGTCTAGGTTATTGACGTAGCCATTCCAGCCCTGAATGCCCATCAACACGTACCTTTTTTTTTTTTTTGCAAAGTTAGCTTCCGTTATGAACTTGGACAACAGCTACCTACCAGCCCGGCAAGCCTACTGGGGAACAAGGCTGGCCGGCGTTACACCAATTATTGATGCCGCAAAAGAAATTCGGGGCCCCCAAATAAGCCGCCAAAGATTGAACGTTGTTATATGAATACTGTGTGTAGTGCTGCGAAGCATTCGCTAGAAATCCGTCGACATTCTGCGCAACCCATGTGGAGCTGGAGAGTACATCCGGTGTGCAGTTTTGTTGGCGCCGAAGGCTCGGGCTGGGACCGGCAGCAAGTTCGGTGGTTGCAAGGTCAAACGGGGCGGCTTTCGAAAGGCGCGGTATCAATGTTGTTATACAAATCGCTAGGAGTAACAAAAACCTCATGATACCCAACGAACTGCAGAAGTTGGGAGACGTAAATAACATAAACAAAAAACACAGAGCGGATCACAGCTTAAAACCGGCTTTGTTAAACCATTATAGAGTTGTAGACTCGTATAATGTAACAATTCATGCTCTTACGCAAGGTCCCATACCTAGATGTGTTCAGGACCTGAGGTATATTAATGTTCAGATTGGTAGTTATGGTTACGTAATTACAGTTGCGGGTCTAGAAGTCTACTAAAGTACTGCTTCCCTACGGTATAAACCTTAGTCTACTAGGCCTACTAGGTAGTAAAATTTTAGTTTAAGTACTAGGGTATGTATGGTTTAGTAAAGACATTACTATTTCTCTAGATGGTTCAATTTTAAAACAATCTACTGCTAACAATACCAAATTAAAGTATAGAAAGATTGTGTGGGTAGACCCACTGCGTGGCTGTGGCAGTGGGTCTCTTGCATAAAGTAATTAGACACGTCAAATTACTAAATCGCATACTTCCAAATACCTATACTCGCGAGTTTGTGTACAAGATTCTGTGGACATTGGTTGGACTGTTGTCTGGGGATTGGCTGAAGAAGGGGGCAATATGCGTAGGATCTTAGCTTAAGAGATAACGAATAGACTGTCTCAACAGTAGGTACTTGAAAAAAAACAGGTTGAGTCAGATAGCTTAGATATGCCGCCGGATAATCACCTAGAAAGTGCGTCATGTTACCAACAAGGCGTGAGAATCAAGGGGATTCAGATCTACTCTATTTATATAGTATCGCATAAGACTACCCTAAACACTCAATAGTTAGACATTCCACTCTTTTTCAGGCTAACAGTATAGAGTATAGTGTACCCACCTCGACTAGGCCTATAGTAGAAAGCAGTCAGCCCACCAATCCAGCCTATATAACGACTGCCGAGAGTATATATATCTCTAGCTCAAGACGTCCAGCAACCCATTGCAAATAGTTCATTAAGGCCGTGGGAAATCTAGCCAACAGTTGAGGGAGAAAAGGAGGAAATCCAATGCCAACCATACATAGTAAGTTAATTTCGTGGCCCTTGCCACCTAACTTGCTGCTGACGCACATGACTAACCCCTGCTGCTGCCACCTCCAGATCCCTGCTTTCTGCCAGCACGCCAACCCCTTTCCAGCGGCCGCAATACCCCATAGCGTTGGCCCAAAAAAGAGTGGAATGTCTAAGTATTGAGTGTTTAGGGTATCAGGGAAACGGGGCTTGGCCGCCAGGTACCCCTGTTTGTCACAAAGCCATAACAGCTAGGTCTCTATTTTCAAGTCGCCTGATTAATATAACTAAGAGCATTGCGCCTCTGTCTGTGCTTAAGCCTGGCTTTAAAAAAGAAGAGAACTCACTACATGGCCTGCTCACTTTGTCTTAACATATCTTTGCTCACATGTCTAACATGAAGTTCTTATACCTCTTATTGTTTACAGCCCTAGCTGTACCAGCCCTTGGCAATACACACCACTTTTGCTGGTGTGAGAGCGCTGAAGTACCGGATCTTGACATATGTCTCACGCAAGCCGCCTGTAACCTCTACCCCAAGGACAAGTTCTTCAACGTTAAAGGCGGCGATCCAAACGCGCATGCAATGACCAAGATGAACTACAAACTGCAGAAGTGTTATTCAACGCGAGCCTGGCCTATTATCCCCCATCCATACTTGGGTGGGAACGAGTTCGAAGACGCCTGTTATGCTGCGGCGGGGGACCAAAGTGTTGTAGACGCTTGTACAGTTTCCCCAGGACACAGAACGCATGTCAAATCAATCTGTGCCAAGAATCATGCTTGGTAGCCTTTTTGTTTTTTGTTTTTGAAGAAATATTTATATGTAAGAGCACAATTCTATGTATTGCCTGTAAACAGTACTTGAATCTTGGCGAAACAGACTTACTTATTTTTAGTTATAGGCTCACTGTGCAGAATCAAACCGCGTTGTTAATTTTGGCCATCTGATGACCTTTTGATTTGATTATCTATGGAGGCGCAAATTGCCCCTGCACAATGGCTGACGGATATTGTAACGAGTTAGAGCACACAGCAGGGTATAGGATAAATAAGGTCTAAAAGGCTTAATTCAAGGTAAGTGAAGGCAACGAAAGTGAGGTCCTATATATCGGGAACGAATGTGAAAACCACGTGATATAGCACCTGACAATGGCGTTACATAAAGTGGAAATGCATGAAGCTATCTTGACAGATCTTTTTATCATACTATCACGGCAGATGCATGTCGTGCATAGGATGAGTCATGTCATCCTGATTCCGACACGGCAATCTTTGCTGCTTCGGTGCATCACGACAACATAGGCTGGTGCACAAACGTTGGCAAGAGTCTACTAAACGCAATTAAAAACTGCGAGCTTCGGAAATTATGCGCTGCGGCGGGCGCTACAGGCGACGACTCTTGGAGCAGAGGAAAGTAGATGTATAGGCAAAGAGATGCCTCAATAACATCATGTTATAGGATGCCTTGGTTGTTGACGTACTGATACGGGTGCGACAATCCTGGTTCAATTGATGGTTACGTATCTGTTGCAATGTGTAACTACGGCTAGCTTCAGAATGGGATTTCCGCAAGTCTGTAGCCCTAGGGGCGTTGTTAGGTGATCCGGGGCTCGCGAGCGCCAATGCCTCGGCGTCTCTAATCACTCTGGAGCCGGAATGCCTGTATAGACTTTTCTCGCACAAGTAATCCTACTTCCGCAGTGTAGCATTTTCAGTGCAATGGTAAAAAGAAGAAGTAGCGCAAACCTCCCCGCCGCTTGCTAAAGCAGCTCTGCCCGCCCTCCGGCCAAAGACAGCACCAGAAGTCAACCCACTGCCTCCTGGATAATTCTGATAAAAAAGGCCTCCCATCATCCCACCAACAGAAAAAAATCCAGAAATTGGCTGCCTTGTTGTTGCACTAATAAGCTGCGCATTCTTAGCGTCAACCTTAAGTCCGCCAAATGTGAACGTTACACCGCAAGTCACCTTCACAGCAAGAAACGGACCCTTGTCCAGAGGAAGTGCCCGATCGACTTGGACAAAGGCAGTTGAATCTTCGATTGTGTCGAAACACCGTCTAAAACAGAAGGATCCCACTTTACTGATGGGCTTTTCCGCTGGAACGCATATGTTGCGGAGTTGTAGTCCCGGCAAGTGCCTAAGAACTTTGCACGATCTTTCAGGCCATGCGAAGACAGGACACCGGCGAGCTCTTCGACAGTTTCCGCTTCGAAGCGGTTCTCTTTGAGTCTCTCAGGGCGATATTCTTCTGACCGAAGCCAATTTGTCGTACGGGCGTCCCAAATCTGGAAGGCGACGTGGTCCGGCTGCTGCAGGATGGCGCGGCCAAACTTGGCATATGTGTAGTTTCTCATTGTAACACTCTCGTCGACGAAGCGGTGTCCTTCGACATTAATCATGAGGCCCAGGGGGTATCCTGAATTGGTGTATTCGTTGGAGGCCTCACGATCACCGACCGATGGATCGGCGTTCGCATCCCAGCACGTGGCATGGCACCCCGACCAGTTGCCCACTGGCAAAACATCAAGATCCCGGATAGCGAGCTCAATACAATCCCCCATATTGTACGGAATTCCACGGACCATGGCCATGTCCCATCCAGGTCCAAGATACTGGCTGCGCATGCGTGGGTTCGACTCAAAACCGCCTGCAGCGAATACAATCGCATTCGTTGAAACAATTCGCTCCACTCCTTCGTCGAGAACGGTAGCCAGATACCGGTGCTGCCCACACTCGGTCTGTCTTTTGACACCTTTCAGTCCTGTACCCCACGAGAGGAGGACACCACTATTCTTGGCCGCGGCTAGGTGATCCGCGATGAGACCTTTGCCCCCGTCTTCGGTCTTCAAACACAGACCACCCCAGAATTTGAATCTGCCGTCGACTTCATATGCCTGACGGTTGAAAGACAGCTGGAATCGGATACCACGACCAGCAAGCCACTTCACGGTAGATCGCGAGTCCGTAATCAATGCCCGGGATAGCTCCTTATCCGAGCGCCCAGCGCAAACGTTTTCCATATCCTTTGCAAAAATTTCATTTGTATAAGGTGCCAAGTGTCAGGTGCCTGGAGCGGGGCCCCAGGGGGGCACTGGAGTGAGACCAGGACCGGATAAACTAGTCACTAAAGGAATAACAAAAGGGGAAAACTCTATAGAATATAGGGGGAGAGAGGCATATTAGAATAATTGTTATAATTAAACCCTAACTACGCCTATTACTAACTCCTTTACTTAATACTATCCCTGCCTCTGACATGTTCTAATATCTCCCTATCCTTAGGTGTATTAACTACTAGAGTAGTGATAGTGCCTACTAGATCCTAAACCGCGGCCTAGTGACAAGGGAGCGCCACGACAGGACAACTGACGCCTGACATAACTAAGTCTGTTATTAAATCGTAGGGATTGTAATAGTTGATTAATTATGTGATGTGTTGTGTGTAACTGCAGTGAAATCCTAAAGGAACAGGGAAATCTACTTATTCCTTAGTTAGGAAATCCTAGGCTAATCCTAGCTATATAATTAGTAGACTTACCCTAAAAGTAGGGCTAATTCACTGCCTATTCCCTAACAATTCGCTATAAGGTAACTATATATTTACTAGTTAATTTATATATAATTCTGCTATATTTAATACACCCCCTTAGCGCTAGTAACGCGGTTAATTACTATAGAGCCTACGCTAAATATCCTCTATATATAGTCTATTTATTTATTAATTATCTTTTAATATTTTATACGTTTTTTCCTTTATTTAGTAGTAAAGCTTTACTTTATTATTAGCTAATTCTTACTATTAATTTACTTTAAGGCGTATATATTAGTTACTTATATTTAATTAATTTATAAATATAGTAAATTATAGCGCACTAAGCGCCTTTATTAATCTATTAGCTATTAACTTAATAGACTTCTTATATTTAATAGTAATCTAATTTATTACTACTTCTTAGTGTAGCTAGTAGTTATAAATATTTATATACTATAGCCTTAATTATAGTAAAATAAGCTCCTTAGTAATAAGCCTAATAGTCTAAGTATTATTATAGCTAATATAAATAGTTAGTAGTAATTTAATAGCTACTTACTTATTAAGTAATAATTTATTTTTAGGTTAAGTTAATAGTTAAATACTTAGTATAGTAATTAATTTACTAGTAAAAACTACCTCTTTTATAGTAAATAAAAGCGCTAGTAATTTAGCCTTAGTAGCTAACGTTATTACTATATCTTACTTATTAGCTTACTAAGAGATAAGCCCTTTAAATAGCTTTAGTGTATATACTTATAAGCTATAATAGTCTAGTAAGTTATTAGTAAATAAGGCGTCTAAAGTAACCTCTAATATATTATTATTACTACTAGGCGTTACTTTATATTTAAGGTAATAGTGCTACGTTTAATAGAGATATCTAAGTATATAATTTATAGCCTTTTAGTAATCTAGATTTAGATTATAATTAAAGTAAGTAAGCTAGCTAGCTATAAAAGTAATATCTAGCTAAGTTATTACTACTATATAAAGGATTATTTCTACTTTTTTTTAATATTAGTTAACCTTTTATAATAAGGCTATATATTTACTAGGTAGTAGCTTAGTGTTATAACCTAATAAGTTATAGGCTATATTACCTTACCTAATAAGTAGATAATAGGCAGCAGTAGTATTTATATAAACAAGAGATAAGGGACAGATAGATAACTCCCTAAGAACAAAAGAACTATAGTATAGGTTATATAAAGATAAAGAAGTAATTATATAATAAGGTAATTACTAGTAATTATAAAAGTAAGCGCTTACTAGTATTTACTAAGCGCTTACTTTATATAAAAATAGTAATTACTTATAACTATTAGTTAATAGGACTATTTAAGGAACAGCTAGGACTTATATATAGGATAGACTTAGATACACTTAAGGACAGACTTCTATAGCTCTTTAGTAATTAACTTATAATATATTCTTTAAATACCTTTTAGTATCTAACCTTAGTAATTTAATTAATAAGAGCTATATAAGCTACCCCTATAACTATTAACTATATAACTAATTACTAGGTAATTGACAGACTAGTAAGATAATAATTACTATTACTAAGTATCTCCCTTTACTTACTATTAGTAGAAACCTTACTACTTAAAAACTAGCTATAACACTTTAATTACTTCTGTTAAGTAAGTTAACTTTAATACTTACCTAATAGTATTCTATAATATCTACACCTAAAATAACCCTAACTTCCTCTAGCTTTAGAAAAAACCTAACTACCCTAGCTAAGAGCCTAAATAAGAAAATAAAAGACACTAAAAAATTAAATAATAAGCTAGACTTTACTTAAGGTATATATAATAAGGTCTAGTAGTATATTAAACGTAATAATAATAATATAGCTTAAATATAAGCTATAATTAATAATATTAGTAAAAAACTAGACACTAAAACCCTTAAAGTTAGCTAGCTATAAAATATAGTCTATAATACTATTACTTAGCTAAAAAATAAAACAGCTAAAGCTAAAAAACTAAATAAAGAAGTAACTACCTTTAGGGGTATAGTAAATATTATTACTACTTTAGTTAATAGATATAATAAGCTTAAACTTAACTTACCTAGAACTTATAATAGGACTAGTAGATAACTAAAAGGATTCCTAATTTAAGTTTATACTTATTAGACTTTTTATACTACTAACTTTAGAAGTAAGACTAAATAAGTTATCTATATAAGAACTTTTCTATAAGGAAAAGCGCTTTTTAGTA